ACACCACGCGCCCAGAGGCTAAGCTCCCGGCACTTCTGGGTTAGAACAGGCTGTCCCCTGTGGGAGCCTAGCTGGCGCCGATGCCATCGTTCCTCTGGGAGGTGCCGCCCGGGTTTGAAGGCCCTGCTTCTGCGCACATGCCGCCCCTGTGTGCAGGGCCGCAGCGGAGGGCAGGGCAGGCCCGGCGGCAGGGGAGACGCCGGTGCCCCGCGGCCTTCCAGCCTCCATCGATGGCGCATTTAGAGTCTAGACCCTTGGTCAGTATGCAATACATTCCATTTTCTGTTAGACCGACTACATCCGTACGGTTCACCGTTCAGATGACGTGTGCATCTGGGTTCGTACACAAAACATCCAAGGGACTCCCCCCGCCCCGCCCCCCAAAGCCTCGGTGCCACACCGTGACCGTCGTACCGTGGTTCTTCAGACCACACACTGCGTCGTTAAAATCTGGATCAAATTTATGCTATTACTTTTTGAACTTGAATGCTAATAATACTAACAAAATGATCCAAGATCCACTGTTGTGTAGGAAATTCCACGTCATCCCTGTCTCTCCACTGAGGGAGGACTTCCGCTTTAGAAGAGAATTACCTGCTGCTCAGGACTGTAACTGCCCCACCTTCAGAGGGCCCCGTTCACCTGTGCCAGGTCGCTCAGGGCCCTCCCGGTCCCTCTGGCACACCTGCCGCCAGGCTCTCAACTCAGGTGGCTTCTAAGCACTGACTGTTCTACTGTTTTCAAGATTTGGCTGAACACGGTAATATCACTCTTCTTTGAACAAGTGTTTAAGGTAATAAGCAAATGGTGGCCTAACTAAAATGAAATATAGAAAAACACTTAGAGTAAACTTAGACTTAATTAAGGGAGAGAGAGCAACTATAAGTTAGTTCCTCTCCATCCTTCTGAAAAGGCAGACATTATGATTCAGAAAAAGCAAAACTGATCAGTTTGCCCTCACACGACTAATTCCTTGCTACTTGATTTTCTGCTTGGCTATAATAATTTCACTCCGGGGCAGAATTAGTGTTCTTAATTCACACACCACTATCAGCTCAGCTGAAATGAGCTTAGAGAAAAAATTACTCACACAAAAACCACTGTATGTCCGATAAAATTAGAAGACATTAAAAAAAAAAAAATCACAAGCATCACACAACTCTCTTCAATCTGCTGGCGGACACCATATCTATGCCTATTTTAGTCTACAGAACATCACATTCACTTTACTACCGCATTCATGGCTTACTTCTCTGCTGTCTCTTACCCGTGGTGCGTCTCCCTCCTGCTTAATCATATCCATTCCAGGCAGCTGGCTTGGGAAAAGGCTGCCTCCTCTGAGAGCAGGATCGTTAACCTGAGGGTGGCAGGACAGCACAGGGGCTTTATTCAGTGAGACATCCAGAAGCGTATGGGAAATAACCACCCACTAACCTGCTTCTTTGTTTCTAGGACTAGAATTATGGGGAGAGAGAAAGGACTACATAAAAACGGCCACTTCCCTTATCTATTCTTCCATGCATATGTTCTGGGGGGGAGTGTGAAGGAACATGAAAATAAATCCTTATAATACACTCGCTGCCTTCACAATTAAATTTTTTTTTTTTGTATTCTGTAGAGAAATTCAACAGAGATGGTAATATTAGAAACATTCTTATGCCTTAACGTGTTCACTTTTTTGAGTGCAAATTAGATCAATGATTCCTGATGTCTGTTACTTTAGGCAAGTTATTGATTAACAAGAGCAGGTGTGAATACCCCAAACGGGGCAGGATCTTGTGAATCTTTTCTAAGTGAACTATCTTGGCATCTGTACATTTCTTTTACAAATTACACTTCCCCTAGAAAGCAAGGCAGGAACTGCTGGTGGTCCACTCTGGTAGAAAATTCAGCATCCACACTGTATTTTCTCCACTGAAAAAAGATGAAAGTCTATTTTTCTTTAATTTATGTTTAATTTATACAAATGAGCATTTAGCCACCAGAGAAGTACAATCAATTCAGCCAAAGAAGTGCAAATTATTATTTCACGCACGCATAAAGCCTTCTTAACTTGCATAAGTGCTTATATTTTCTCATGTATCACTTTGCATTTTTATTAATCTTCTTTTTACAGAATAAAACACTGAGGCATTGTAAAATTTAGTAAATTTTCACACAAATTGTCCTTTACCAACATCAGGATTCAGTAGACCTAATTAAACTTTCAATCTTTCACCATTCTCACAATCATGACCTAATGGAAATTTATGGTGCTGTCAATGACACTTGGTTAATTTGTTTAGACTTTCCATGCCTCAGTTTCTCCTAATTTGAAATAAGATTCAGGGTCCTTGCCCCATTAACACTTTGCCTGAACTAGTGAGGTGGTAGAATGCCCAGCATTTTGTGCCCTTTAAAAATAAGGTCTTTAATACAGTTTAAAAATTATTAACCAATATCTTTACCCATCATAGATTTCTGAATCCCAGGCTGGCTACCTATGTATCAAGTGCTTTGAGTCTCTTTGCCACCAAGTGAAGCTGGCATGTACTTAGGAATGGCAGAATCATTTCAGTATTATTCAACACACAAAAAAATTATTAAAAAATATATACAGACAAAAAAAAAAAAAAAAAAAAACATGGTATCCACATCCCAGAGATGACGAAGAGTAGTTTTTGGATACTCCTTGTCAGTCTCCCTGCACACGTGAACTATCATTTAAAGCTAACTGGATGGCAGGTAGTTTGGCCTTTGCTTTTCATCTGGTTTTATTTTTAGAAAAAAGTCAGTTCTTAAAAATCCAAAAATAAAACTATTTAAAAAAACACCTTTCACCACTCCATTTTACAAGATTCATTTTAGATATCGCCAAATCCCTCAAATAAGAGAAAAATTCAGAAGACAAGAAAGTTAAGAAATATTTTAAAAGATCTTTGAGCAGTCAGGGATCCTTTCATGTTTATTTTGTCATTATCAAGTATTTCTCTTAATCACACCAACACAAGTGATGGTAAGGTGAAAAAAACACTTGAAAATAAATGTGGGAGTTGATGGCAGACGTTAAGCACATGGAAAGACACATTTAATGCAAAAATAGACAAGAAGTTACAATCAGAAGCCCGTGGGGGGCTTCTCCTTGGGGTGCTTACCTGCTCGGGACCCATGGAGGACAGCCCTGACGTAGGCACGGAGGTCACTGAGGTCATGCTGATCTGTCCGGTCATCTGGTTCATGTTGCTCATCCCACCTGTGTTGGTCGCCATGGATACATTGATGTTCATATTGTTATTGTACATGCTGGTGTTTGCTTGCTGTCCAAAGTGTGGAGGGGACTGCTGCGAAAACATGCTAGAAACACAGTGAAAGATGAAAATGTTAGAGCCCTCGGGCAAACAGGCAGGCAGTTTTGAGCACTGGTTTCTCAGGCATTTCCTTCAGAATGCATAAATCTAGGCTGAGAGAATCTGGGTGGGACACCAAGAGGTGGTGAGGTCAGAAACAGCGGGGGAAGAAGCCCTTGGCGAAGCTGCGGGGGCCACCGCGCTCTGTCCTTTTCCCCACATTACCGTGAAGGTCTGGAAGGACACGTCCCACTGTCGTGTCTGTACCAGACAAGGCTTCTGTTTGCTTTTATTACCTGTACTGATAGAGGGTGGATTCTAGGCCACTGCCTCCCACAGCGGTTTCTATCATCCATTGGTGGCGGTGCTACCTTGTCATGGGAGCTCCTTTTACTCCCAAAGAAAAAACATTTAAGCTAAGGTTTGGTAAATTCCGGTAACTTCTGCCCTAGGAAAAGTAGACTGGCTTACTTAGCAGTTTACTTGGTATTGCTTGCTTGAGCATTGAGCAAAGAAGAAAAATCCAGAAGCGAGACAGGTGGGCTATGGAAAGATTCCCTGGTGATCATTTCTATCAAAAAGACACAGACACGTGGCATACCTGTTTGCGCCCATGCTCCCCTGCGCCCAACCGTTCATGTCCGAGGAGGCCTGGTAGGCTGGGTTCGTCTGGGACTGCTGCAGCATGGGGCTCTGCGTGTGTGCTAGCCGGGGCGACATCAGAGGGCTTTGGGGTGCGGTGGCCCCAGCAAAGCCTGGATCAGGCTGCTGACTTATTCCTTAAAAAACAAAACAGAAATCCAAAGGAGACTGTTAGTTTTATCGTTGAGATGGGAGACAGAAGAGAACATTCAAATCAAATACACAAGGAAAATTACTATCAGATAACTGATCATGTGCTGGTAAATTACATACATTTAAAAAAGATTCCAAGATGGAATAAAAGGCATGAAGAAAAACTCTCCATTCCTTGGTTCTCTATAGTAATTAGAGGCGTGCCTAGGAACGATATTAACCATCACGACTAGAGGTAGAGAGAGATACTATTCTTTCCCCATATCCCTTGCAAATCAAGAATGAGTCAAATGTGTCTATTTCTCTTTGACCGGAAACAGTCTTTCTATGTTTATATATCACTACAACTGGATTCAGTTGGATTAAGGTTTAGCTATATATAAAAAGCCAACACACTTGAATAATGTTTTATTAAATTAACCCAAGTTATTCTATGATGAGATAGATGCGTTTTTAAAAATAAGTGACTGAGAATTCCGTGGCGGTCCAGTGGTTGGGACTCCGCACTTTCACTGCCGAGGGCCTGGGTTCGATCCCTGGTTGGGGATCTGGGATCTCACAAGCTGTGCGACATGGCCAAAAAGTAAAAAAACTGTAGAAAGTAACTGCATTCATGATTAGCTTGTTGTGTATTTATGAAGGGCTCCACCATGCTTTTGCTCTATACAAGATTAGCAAGAATAAGAAAAACATTCCATGTAAGCTTCTTGTTCAGTGCAGAGGCAAATGGTGTTTACACTAAAAGGAGAGAAAGAACTTTTAGCAGTCCTTCCTAAATGATCAAAAAGGAAAGAGAGGAAGAGTTGGGAAACAAAGGAGGCGGCTTCTTAGAAAATTTCAGGGATGACATTGAGGTAAGCCCATTTTTGCCTAGAAGATGTGCTAAACATGCATATTTAGTTAATGCTTTAATGAGCTCTAGAAGAAAAGCTTAAGATCCCACAGGAAAAAGCTGCGCATTATCTTACTGTTTCTTTAAAGAAATAGGAGACGTGAGGCTAAGCACCACAAAGACTTGGTAGTTGTTTCTAGACAACTCTGGCGGAGGATGGGGAAAGTCATTTTGAATATTAACCTTGATGTAAGCCCTTATTTTTATCAATAATTCAACTATTAATCGAATATGACATGCACACAAATATTAATGTTTATGACATTGCACGCTTGTCTCTTAAGACTGACATTAAACAGCAGATCAATACGAAGAAAATTAAGAGGTCGTCCGCTGTGGTTTCTGTGCAGCGCCCCTCAAGAATGATCAGTTCGTTAAAGATCTTGTACAATATTGAGAGCCTTTATTTTTCAAAAGCTGTAGAAAGTCTGTAAAATACTTACAATGATATATGTCTTTCAACATTTTCTATCTTTCAACATTTTCTATCGTTTTTAGACTCAGACGTTTTCACGTATAAGCATATGCACAGGCACCTGTGTTTACAGACACTGACATAAGTGCAGACATTCACACGCACTCACACGCATGACTGGCAGAGGCACTCTACGCACGCACACCTACTCCGGTCATTCTTAAAGAAAGACCTGCACTCAGAGCAAAGGTGGCACCTGAGCTGAGAGACTGGAAGGTACCGTGCTGGACCTGGGGACTCCTGACGGGCCCCAGTGGTCCTCCCAGGTTTCCTAGCACCCCCCGGTTAGCCAGGTTCCTCTGGGAGCCATGCAAAGAGCTGCGAGGGAGGAGCTGTGACCCAGGACTGGCGGACACGGGGGAGAAAGGACTGGTGAAAGGCGGCGGCGGCGGCGGTGTAAGTCCCGTACCGTAGCTCGGAGGGAAGGGAAACTGCTGTGCGTTTGCCTGGGGGACCCGGGGGCTGCTCATAGTTGCCGGCACACCACTAGGAGCCACCACGCTGGGCGTCATGTTCAGCCCCTGTCCTCTCATCATCAGAGCTCGCTGCTGAACTTGCTGCTGCTGATGCATTTGTCTCTGTCGAAGATGCTGGTTCAGGATTTCCCTCTGTCTCTGGGCCAGCATCTGTGCGTTAATAGGTGCCTGGAACGGGGGGGGGGGGGG